CCGCACGGCTTTTGCAGCGCTACCCCCCACACCCGCACGGCAGCGGGAGCCCAGGGCTGCGCGGGTGCATCCCCCCGGGACGGCTCGGGGGGGCGGGGAAGGTCCCCGTGTATGCCCAGTCCCCTGCTGTCCCCGGGCATGGTGCCAGCAGGGCAAGGCAGTGTCCCAGGCTAAATCCCGCGCTGGGACTCCTGCCCTTGCTATAAGTGGGGGTACTGCCGTGCTCCCCAGGGGCAGCCACCCATGCTCGGCTCCTTTCCCACCCTGGCTTTACCGGTGCTTTCCTTTGACATCTCCAACCTCCCTGCACCCCGGAGGGCAGGCAGCAGCCCGGCTGGCCCCCCTTGCAGTGCCCAGTGTCCCTGCCACCTCCTCCCAGAGCGGGGAGCGGAGATGGAGAGCCGCTGCCTCGGCCGCCCCCCACCTACACAGCACGTCCTGCCTGGCAGCTGGCCGGCTGTGTGGTCCTCTTCGCCCACTTCATGCTGAGGCCTGGCACAAATGCTAGTGCTCTCTGAGGAAATCCCCATCCCTGCTGAAATTTTGGCCACCCAGAAGAGAAATCCCAGTGAAAACTCCCCAGCCACAACGCCAGGCAGTGGGGAAGCGGCTGCCAGCGCCTGGCCATCCTCAGCCCACATCCTGCTACTCGCATCTTGCATCCCGCACCCTTCGTCCTGCATCCTGCAACTCACATCTTGTAGCCTTCATTCTGCATCCTGCAATCTGAAATCTGCACTCCGCATCCATCAGCCTTCGTCCCGCATCCTTTATCCCGCATCCTTCCTCCTGCAGCCTGCAGTCCCACAGCCTGCACCCTGAAGCCTTCATTCTGCATCCTGCACCCCACATCCTGCAGCCTTCATCCTGCACCCATCCTGCAGCCTGCAGCCTGTGTCCTGCATCCCAGAGCTTGCATCCCATAACCACAGCCTGCCTCCCACATCTCACAGCCTGCACCCCACAGCCTGCACCCTGCTTCCCCGACTTGGCCTGTGGACCATAGCCACGGAGAAGTTTATTTTGGTCCCCCTTACAGAACCAGTCGCAGAGGACCCGTCAGGCTCTGCTCACACCGCCCAGCACACCCCAGCTGTGTGTATCCCATTACACATGTGGGATGACCCAGGTGCCCTTCCCTCTGGTGGGCACATCCTCTGTGGGACACCACAAGGGTTGGGTGGTGGGTTTGTGCACAGCCTCGTGGCAGCTAGAGTTTAGGTGGCATGTCTTCTGCTCACTGCCCTGCTGGGATGGGGGAAGAGAGGAGGAGGGGACGAGGAGATGGATGGGCCATGGCTGCACGGCGCACATGGGCTGGAGACTCCCTGTCCTTTGCTCGCTCTCTTTCCCCCAATCCTTCCTCCCTTTCCTGGAGCAGCAGGGCTGGGGAACCATGCTGGGGGGCTGTGGGGGACCAGGGCAGCGGGACCCCGTGCCCCAGCGTGCAGTGCAGGCTGCCTTGTCCTGCAGGCACAGGGAGGGCCAGTGCCAGCCCTGCCAGGAGCGATGCCAGAGGCTTCGCATCCCTGAGCACGTGAGTCAGTGCCCATGAGTCAAGGAGGCCAAGCCCGGTGGCAGCCGCACTTTCCCTGGCTTTGCTGTGCCAAAAGAGAAAGCCACTTTCCCCAGCTGCCCCGGGCCTTTCTCTGCCTTGCTCTGTGCCAGCTCCCATGACTGGCTGTGCTGGCACCCATGACTGTCTGTGCCTTCTAGAGGACCCATCTTGCTCACCCCGCCTGCAGCATTCAGATGGCCGCAAGGAGCCACCAGCAAGGAGCACTCCGTGCCTCCACTGGGAAAAGCCCTGGGTTAAAACTAAAGGGCACTGCCCCGCTGGGATGGGCACCCAGCTGGTCCCTGCCTGAGTGTCCCAGCCCCAGGGTGTCCTGTGCCCCGGCTTCCCAAGGCACCCCATCCCTCATGGTCCCCCTCTCCCCTGTAGTGACGTGACATTCGTGGTGGGCCGGGAGCAGCAGAAAGTGTTTGCGCACCGCTGCGTGCTGGCGTGCCGCTGCCAGGCTTTCCAGGGGATGCTCGGCCAGGGGCTGGCAGGCAGCGAGGACCCCCCTGGCAGCATCCCACCCCAGGGCCCCTTCGTCCTGGGCAACGTGCAGCCTGAGGTCTTCCTGGCCGTCATCGAGTTCCTCTACACCAACAGCGTCACCCTCAACAGCCACATCGTGAGTGCAGATGGGGCTGGCAGGGACCATGGGCATGGAAGGGACAAGGTGGGGATGCAGGGGTAGGGGTGCTTTGCAGCTCCTGGGGTGCTGAAGGTGGAGGGGATGCTCTGCATGATGCTTTCTGGCTGGCTAACAGTGCAATGAGTGTGTGGTGTCAGCCCAGAACAACATCGTGAGCAGATGGGGCTGGCAGGGACCATGGGCATGGAAGGGACAAGGTGGGGATGCAGGGGTAGGGGTGCTTTGCAGCTCCTGGGGTGCTGAAGGTGGAGGGGATGCTCTGCATGATGCTTTCTGGCTGGCTAACAGTGCAATGAGTGTGTGGTGTCAGCCCAGAACAGTGGGGTGTCCGGAGCACCTTGTTCCACATGTGTCTGCCCCAGCCTTGGGACAGCTGGCTGTGCACACCCTGGATGCTGAGAATGAGGACACCAGAGCAGGACACCTTCATATGCCCACACGCAGCAGCCCCTTCCCCCCCCCATGCCCTACCTGGGAGCTCCCATGGAGGCAGGAGGACATGTGCCCTTGGCCCCTGGGCTGCCATGCCTGTCCCTGGCCCTGCATGCTGATGCTCTCTCTTGCCTGCAGGCGCTGGAGGTGCTGACCTCGTCAGTGGAGTATGGCCTGCAGGACCTGTGCAAGGTACGGCCCTGCCTAGACTGGGGGCGGTGGTCCCCGAGTGCCCCTGTGCTGAGGAGCACCCCAAGATGGTCCCTGCAAGGCTGGTGGCTGGAGGCTGGAGGTGGCTCTGAGGACAGCACCGTGGTGCATCACCCAGGTCCATCACAGGCTCAGCCCCTGCTTCTCAATCCCGGAGGGTCTCTCCGGTGGGATCCCCCTTGAGGGGGTGCAGCACAGTCCAGGAGCCCCGCAGGGGCTGGGGAATCCCAGGGAAGGGCATGGGGCCTCACATCTCCTACATAGCAAAGGGCAGCAGGAAAGCCCCAATGCCATCGCCCACGGGTGCCCTCCGGTCATCTGGCAGGATGATGCTGTAGGGAAAGCCCCCGTCCTGGGGAGCACTCAGCACCCCAGCTACAGTGCTGCCAAGGGGGTGCTGCTTTGGGCAGGAAGGTTTTGGGAAGGCAGCAGGGAGCAAAAAGGAGGGGTGGGAGCCAGACAAGGAGCGGGCAGGGAGCTGGAGCGGCTCGGCATTGGGGAGGGTGGCCAGGCCACGTCATCAGAGCGATTCCTGAATTACGGCTGGGCTGATCGCGTGACCTGCCATCTCGCGCCTGGACTTCCCCTCCCCACCGCGTCGGGGAAGGACCTTGCTGAGGAGCTGAGGAACCATAGGCTGCTGTGTGCCGGGGCAGCGGGATGGGACCTGCCCCGTCACCCCATGGGGACAAGCTCAGCCAAAGCCCAGATGCGGCACGGGGCTGTCAAAAAGCTGGCTGGGCAGGGAAGGGATGTAAGGGGTGTTGCAGAAAGGGGGACCCAGCACCCCAGCTGCACGAGTCCCACCCCACCATCCAGCAAATGCATCCTCGGGGGGATGACCTGCAGCGGGGAGAGCCATAGAGGAGGGGTGGGAGGGAAGGGGCTGACCAAGGACAAGCCGGGGAAGCCCATGGCTGTATCCCCAGCTGCAGGGTGACCTCATCTCCCTCCTGCCAGTGACTCAGGGCCCTTCTGCTCCAGCTGACGGCTCCTTCCTGCATGTCACATCCGCTTGGGTTTCCCAGGGGCTCTGACCCCTTTGTGTGGGAGGCAGCTGAGATGGGCAGGAGGGAGGTCCTGCTCTCTGATAGACATGCCCGTCTACCTACATCGCCCGCGTTTGGGCTGCAGCCGGAGATGCTGATCCCCCAACAGTCATAGGCAGAGAGCAGCTGGCAGGCAGGGCTGGGCAAAGCTGGGGTCACCCAGTGCACTGCAGCCAGCACCAGGGCCATCCCCTGTGGCAGGACATGGCTAGTGACCATGGCCAGGGTTAGGTGACCCACCTGGGGCTATGAGGTTGGCTGGGGTTTGGTCACATCAAGCTTGGTCCCTGGCTGAATCAGTGCCTGGGCTGGCTGCCCACAGCCCATCGCTGCCTCATGAAACCCTGCGGGGTTGAAGGTGCCTCCACCCCATGTCCCATGTCCTGGGGGGGCTCAGGGGGTGCTGAGAGTCACGGGAGTGGGTAGAGGGGCTGGGTCCCTGCTCTGCCCACCCTCTCTCCATCTGCCTTCCAGCTCTGTGTCAAGTTCATCAAGGACACACTGAGCGTGGAGCAGGTCTGCGAGGCTCTGCAGGTGAGTGTGACCCCAGTGGGGTCACAGAGGGTTAAAAATAACCTGCCTGATTTTGGGGCAGGAGCTGGCCTGACCCTCCTGCTCTGGGCTGGATGGTGGGACAGGATTTCCTACCCATGCCTGACCCAGCAGCTACTCTGCCAACTCCTGGGCACATTGTACCAGGGCTGCAAGGGACATCGGGGTCACCATAGCCTGGCAGGGAAATGTCCTCACACTGCCCTGAGTGGGGCTGGCCAGAGCTCCCCAGTGCCAGGGCCTTGCCATCATCTGCATGAAACTGGGAGGCACTGGGTTTCTGGGAGCTCTCATGGTTTTGAGGCCAGTCCCAAAAACCCTGCTGAGAGTTGGGGTACCTAAAAATAGCCTTGGGGGGGGAGGTCCCAATGGCCCTGCCACGCTGGTTGGTGGGACCAAGGCTGCTACCTAGAGAAGGGGGATTTGCTCCATCTCCCATGGGCCGAAGCGATGCTCTTGGGGCAAGATGCCGGCCCCAGAGCACAGAAGCTCTCACCAGATGTGGTGCCAGACCACCACGGCGTAAACAGAGCTAAAACTGGCCCAGAGGAAAAAAACAGAAAACCCCAAAACCCCAGAACAAAACAAACCTGAAGAAAACATTTCGCCTTCCCTCCCTGCTTGCATCAATGCTGGTCCCCTGCCGTGGTGGAGGGGGAGGCGATGCTCACCCTGCCTGTGCTGGTCCCAAGTACCCCGCACGCAGAGGCTGCCACTGCAGGGGGACAGGGACGTGTCCTCCTGGTGCCCAGATGGGCAGTGCCAGCCCTGGGACGAGCATTATTGGGTAGGGCTGGGGGAGGAT